GTGAGTGATCATCTGATGCCGAAGATTTGTGAGTTACAATAAATCCTGATAAGTGTAATAGTTCTAAATTTCACCTTGAGTATATTTTGTTCTAAACTTGACGAAATTATTAATACTGACCCTAATGATTCTTTTGTTGTATGTAGTGACTTTAACTTACCCAATATTAACTGACCTTTTGACCCCATTAACAAAAATTGTGTACCATTTAAATTTTCTGACAATGTCTCCAATTTGTTTGTTGATACTATTTCTTGTTGTATTGTTGTAATTTGTCACAATATATATTACTTAACCTAATTTTGAATAACAATTTTCAAAATTCAAAATGTAAATATATGTACAAATTGTTGACGATAAAAACCATACTACTCTGGAGTTCAATTATGTAATGCACAACACTCTTCTTCCAAGAAATTAAATATCGACTATTTTGATTATGATTTTAAAAAAGCTAATTTTAATAACATTAAAACAGATATTGATTTAATTGATTGGGAAAAGGAGTTTTACAAATTGGATACTAAAAACAGTATCAATAGATTTTATTATTTGAAAACACTATTTCCAAGAATATCACATATCTTTCCTGTTTGAAAAGTAAATTTCCTCAGTGGTAACAGCTCCAGTACTATTAAAACTATCAAGGAAAAGGAAAAATATCACTAAGTAAAAAAAAATATAAAAATGGAATTGACTATTTAACTTTTAAGCTACTAAGGGAAAGATCTAAATATTTAATTGATCTAGATTACTATAGTTATGTGAATCGTATTGAGACTTCTATTTCAATGGACCCTAAGCAAATATGGCAGTTTGTAAAATCAAAAAAAGGTAAACAATCTGTTATTTCGGCTTTAAAACAATAATGAAATGATCACAGATGATCAAATTATTTTTGATACTTTTTCTACCTATTTTAACCATGTATTCAACCCGCCCAACTTAAACCAAACTTATGTACATTCTAATAACTCACACAACAAATACATACCTAATTTTATTATATACCAATATACACGATCATTAACAAAATTAAACAACTTCCTAACAAATTTCTGGGCTTTGATAAAATCCCCACATGTCTGTTAAAGAATTGCTCTCAAGAAATAGCGCAACCTCTATTTATCATATTTAATAAATCGTTACAAGACGGTCACTTTTCAGATATTTGGAAAACAGCATTAATTGTTCCTATTCTAAAATTTGGTAATAAATACCTTGCGGAAAATTACCATCCTATCTCTAAATTGTGCATTATTGAAAAATTGTTGAATCTATCTTATGTGACTACTTAGACTTTGATCTTAATATTATTGGTTAATTATTAATATTATTAATATCGAACAACACGGATTTATGAAAAAGCGGTCCATCGAAAGTAACCTTCTTATTTACATACAATACTTATTAGATGGAATGGACCGTGGATTGCAAATATATACCATTTATATAAACTTCAGTAAAGCATTTGATAAAATTGATCATAATATACTGCTCCATAAACTTGCTGAGGTTGGTTTTCATGGTAATTTGCTCAGATGGTATCTAAATAGCACCGAAAAAATTAAAGGGGTGATTCTGTGATGAAAATTAATGTGAGTGTTTGGTATAAAATTTTTTGAAAAAACCCTCCCCGGAAAAGTTACACCCCTTCGAAAATTAAAAAAAAAATGGTTTTTCTTTTTAATTTTCCCTGTATATCAAGCTAAAGACACGAAACTTAGTAAACATTATCTGTCAATAAAAGTACACTTTTTGAAATTTTTTCAACCCTGAAGTATGCTTAGAAGGGGTTGAAATAATCAAGCCCTAAAATATTTTTTCTTACAACTTTTTTTTAGATGAAAATTTTTTCTTTAAAAAAGTATGACTGAAAAGCCCAATTCATTGACTAACTTTTTTATCTCTACAAGTTTTTTTCGAAAACTTAAACATTTATGAGAAAAAAATAAATAAGCTCATGTAAAATAACATTTTATTAAACAACAGCCAACCAAATTATGATTCTTAAGACTTCTACAACTAAAAACAACAACAATGAACAAAAACCTGTCGAATATCGACAATACAATTATAATAAATGTTGAAAATGACCGCCTTCAGCTTCAATACAAGCATCTACCCTTTTCCTCATAGAATTGCGTATACGATGAAATATTCCTGGAGAATTTCTTATAGTTTCACACCCTGCTACAATGCGGTTTCGCAGATCATCGATATTTTCAACTGGGTTTGTGTATATCGAAGATTTCAGATATCCCCATATGCAAAAATTCAAAGGATTAAGGTCAGGGGAGCGGGCTGGCCAGTTTACAGGTCCTCCTCGACCTATCCATTGATTGGCATACACCTCATCCAGGTAAGTTCTTGCACGTATACTAAAATGAGCTGGTGCATCATCGTGCATAAACCATAAATGTTGCCTAATTTGAATGGGAACCTCTTCAAGAAGAACAGGTAATTCTTCAAGGAGATGACAATATGCTTCACCATTTAATCGTAGCGAAAGAAAATGGGGACCAATTAAATGATTATCAATAATTCCGAGCCACACGTTTAATGAAAATTGATACTGATGATTTCCTTTAAAAAAGCCATGAGGATTTTCGTCAGCCCAAAGGTGATTGTTGTGTAAATTTCTAATACAGTCTCTTGAGAAACTCGCCTCGTCAGTAAATAAAATATTACCTAAGAACTGTGCTGCTTGGCCAATCATATTAATAAGCCACTGACAAAAAATCACACGGGGTAAAAAATCTCGAATCATTAACGCCTGCACCCGTTGAAGATGATAGGGATACAACATTTGTTCTTTTAAAATTCTAAAAACAACGGAATGGCTTACATGTAGGACACGAGCTATTCTCCTGGTACTAGTTTCTGGGAATTCTTCAATTGAATTAAGTACGGCTTCTTCTACAGCTGCAGTTCTAACTTCTCTAGTACGACCAGAATCATAACTTCTTTTTTCAAAATTACCACGTTCCCGCAAGCGTCGGTGAATAGTTGTGAACGTAGTATGATGGGGTAGTCTACGCTGTGGGTACTGTTCAGCATAAAGTCTTTGCGCTTCCAATGAATTACCGTTAGCACGACCGTATGTAAAATGCATATCTGCCATTTCCAAATTCGAATATGCATTCATATTTTCAATCAACTAATATTTCCTACAATACACAATCATAAAACTTGTGAAACAATAAGATGGGTAACAGAAAATGACACTACACAATCCTGGTATCAGTATTAATGTTTTTATGCAAAGCACAGGCCACTAGACTTGACGCAAAACACACTCGCGTTAGCTCATCTTTTTGAAAATGCATTGCATTAGATTTTTTTTCTCGTAAATGCTCAAGTTTTAGAAAAAACTTGTAGAGTTAAAAAAGTTAGTCAATGAATTGGGATTTTTAGTCATACTTTTTTAAAGAAAAAATTTTCATCTAAAAAAAAGTTGTAAGAAAAAATATCTTAGGGGTTGATTATTTCAACCCCTTCTAAGCATACTTCAGGGTTGAAAAAATTTCAAAAAGTGTACTTTTATTGACAGATAATGTTTACCAAGTTTCGTGTTTTTAGCTTGATATACAGGGAAAATAAAAAGGAAAAACCATTATTTTTTTTAATTTTCGAAGGGGTGTAACTTTTCCGGGGAGGGTTTTTTCAAAAAATTTTATACCAAACACTCACATTAATTTTTATCACAGAATCATCCCTTTAATTTTTTTGGTGTTATTTAGATACACCCTGTATAAGTAACAGGACTCAAGCAGTTAAAATTGGCATGCATAGCTCTGCATAAGGGCGTATGCAGCTCAAAACAAAAGGAGGGGCTGCTTTCTGAATTCAATATTTTAAGGAAAGGATAGTGCTAAAATAATATATAATACGAAAATAAATTAACCATTTATTGAAAAACAAAAACTCAATTTTTTAACATTAGCTTGTGTGGATTGTTTGCAAATCTTCTAATTACATCTTCTACCAACTGCTATTCGTTTGTAAAAAAACCACTGCATAGTGCTCCTTAGTCATGTTTTTATTCTAAGAAAATAGCTAAACGATCGCTCGATAGTGCTAGTGGTACAAGGTTGCGGAAGCAATATCAGAAGAGCCTTTCTAATGGTCAGAAAAACATTTTGCTCTTTTTCAAAATCTGGTGTTTCCTGCACCTTATTCCACATTTTGAACCATAATTCACATTCTTCAGTGCCTTTTAAATTGTAGAAACTTTCATAAGATGACGTGCTTTCTTTCTATTCTTTCAATAAAACATGTTTCATGTTATTCGGATGAAAATGGGTTAATGAAAATGCAGGTGATTTGTCTGTGGAAAATATTACTTGTAGAGATTAAATGATTGAATCTAATTAAGGAATTATGACAGATCTTTTTCAAAAGTCGCCTGGGTTTTCGGCTGGAGTGTTGTTTCTATGCTTTTGTCGGCCAGCAATACGAGCGACAGTTATATCAACATTCAAAGGCTTTGCTATATCGCCTGCTTCTTTTAAAATTTCAGCCGTTCTCCGCATTCTTCAATAATAGTTTGAATATGCTCGTTGGCTTTAACTAAATCAAGTGTCTTCATTTGAAGTATATTTGCTACGGGTTCCAGAATGGCGGAATACTTACCAATAAATGATACTTATAATAAACGAAGATTTGCATGCCGCTGAGTGCATTTGATATGCACTTTTTTGTTGCTCTATTTCCCTCCTCAGCTAGTGTCTCTAGTGCATCAACTAAACCGACAAAGTGTTTCTTAAAAACACGAATGCTCTTATATTTCTCTGACCACCTAGTTTCACACAATTTAGGAATATTTGCAATAAGTTTGCGTCGTAAAACAGACTCACGAAAAATTTAATCATCTACTTAATAGTTCCAACGCTGTTTCGTATTTCCGGGCTAACATTCAAGTCGTTCACGACAAGGTTAAGCTTGTGTGAAAAGCAGTGGAAGTAGAAAGCATTTTTATACTTTTTCCTCAAGATCGCTTACACGCCTGCCTCTTTTCTAGACATGGTGGAAGATCCATCAAAACCTAACCCCACACACTTATCAGGATCTAGATCTAAGTTTGTCACAAAATCATCAATGGCTTTGGCAATACTTACTACATTTAGTTCTTCAAGTTCTACAAAGCCTAATAATTCTTTTTTGATTTCGTTGGTATTTTCGTCAATGAAACGTAATCCAACAGAAAGCTGTTCCTTGCCAGATATATCTGCAGTTTCATCAGCCAGAATGATATAAGCACAAGCTTTTTTAACATTTGAGATGATTTGTTCCTTTATTGAAGCACCACAGAGATCAATTATTTTATTTTGTATGATAGGTGATCGGTATGACGCGTTTTTTGGTCCGTGCTGAAAATGTGTCTTAATTGTTATTCACCTGCTTTGATGCATAAATGACACAAGTCTATAACCACTACTTTATCCAAATTTTTGCCTCTTAGAGCTAAATCATGTGTTCCGCAAAAAATTATTCATGAAACAATTGAGGACAACACTTTTTATTTTTAAATTGAATAATATATTTTATTTCATAGCTACTTTTCGTACTGGTAAACTTTAGATAAAATATTTATAAAAAATAAAAATTTTATATCAAGTTTTATCTTAATTTATTTTTTCGGGTTCGGAAAGGAAGGGGGGCAGTCGCCTGGATACGCCCTTGGCTCTGCATTTTGTATTATTACATCTGGCGTATCGCAGGGATCTCATCTGGGATAGCTGCTTTTTAATATTTACATTAATGATATTGCCAATTGTTTTACCTTTTCGAAATTTATTATGTACGCTGACGATTTTAAGGTTTTTCATACTGTTGCTACGAATTTGGATTCTTTACAGATTCAAAATGATCTTGACAATTTATTCTCCTATTGCACCCGTAATTGCTTGTATTTTAATCTCATCAAATGTCATTACATCACTTTTTCTAGAAACAAAATTATCCTACTTAATAATTATAGCATTGATAATACACCTCTCGATAAAGTATCTGTTGTAAAAGATACAGTAAACTAATATTTGACCATCATAATAATAATGTCATTATTAAAGCACAGAAGGCACTTGGTTTCATTATACCAAACAGTCTGTACACTTTTTATGTCTTACGTTAACAGCGTGTTAAGTTTTGGATCTGTTATTTGGAATCCTCAGTATAACATTTACATAACTAAACTTGAAAGTGTGCAAGAGAAATTTATTAAATATCTTAATAAAAAATTCTATTCGCATCAGGTTATAATCGATCTCTTATCAAGTAAAATTTACGATTAATATCACTAGAAGATAGGAGACAATTGTATGATGTAAAATTTATTTAAAAATTCTACAATAACTTGATTGACTCTACTTCAATCGTAAACATGAATTCATTTAATGTTCCAACCCACAATACTAGAAAACAAATACTATTTTATTTCAGTTCAAGCACAACTAATTATCATATAAATTCTCCTACAGCTAGGTGCTGTAAATCATATCAAACTTTTTAAATCTTGATATTTTTTCTTGTTCCTTGTCATCGTTTCCTAAGACTTTAAATAAATTTCTTTTAGACCATACAATTTAAATACGTTTGTTCTATTATTATTATTGATTTTGCGATTGATTAATTGAAATTTTTGTATCTAATGTTAAGCTAATAGTAAATACTGTTCCTGGGTTCGTCCAGTTTTGTATTCTTTATTAAAATAAATAAATAAAATAGGGAATACTTATTGCGAAAAAAGTGCCGACTCTTTTAAGATTTTTTAAAATTATCCCTCCCTTTTGACATTTTTCAAGTTTCCAATTAATTTTTTTTTGTTTCAGCGAATTTCCGTAAAAAAATTAAATCGCCGCAAATATTTCGAGTTAATCGGTAGCATGATATCAATGGTTTGAGCTCATGTTCATTTCACTTCTGACAATAAAGACGTTTGATCTTAGAATGTATAATATCCTTTGATGTTGAATGTAGATCTTTAATTTACATTATAGTGTCTTCGGATGTACCTTCTAGAATCAAATGGACAAGGCTGCAGATATACTGGCCTGAGATACGTCTATTTTGAAAAATATAACGTATCAAAGGTCTGATATAGAATTGAACATGATAGATGATCGTTAATGTCATCGGGAATGGAAGATTTTCCGGACGCGATTTTATCGGAAAATTCTACAGGAAATAATGGATATTATTGGAAAAGGAAAGAAATGCTGGACCAACTAATGGGACGGAGAGTAAAGAAGCAATGAGAGGGCTTAAATGGTGAGTCTTTTGAATTATATTGAGCTTTTTAAAAACTATTCTTTTTCTGGATTTGTAACTCTCTTATCACAGAACATATGAAAAAATATTTTAAATAAAAGTTATAGGTTTTTTATTGCGTATTTATAAAATACTTTGAAATATGCTATCTTGGCCCTAAAATACATAACTGGCTTCCATATACATTTAAACAAATTAACACTCTAAACAAATTTAAGAAAGATTTAAAACAATTTATTTTTCAAACTTCGAGAGAAACAATCGACAATTTTTTTACTTAATTGTTAACAACATATGTACTATCATTGTCTTGGTTCTTCTTCCCTTTTACCGCATCTCTATTTGCATATATAATTACCTATAAATTTTAATTCTTATCATTACTATTTTACGCGCCTCATTATATATGTATTTATTAATTTTTTCTTTTTTTTGTACTCACGCACAGGCCCTGCCTATAGTGAAGTATCCTTTTATTTACTGCTGAATTTATGTTATAATTATATACACACTTGTAAATTTCTAATTGGTAAATAAAATTTTATTAATATTATTATTATTCTGTTACAGCGGCACAACCTTCATGTCAATGTTTTTTAGTGACTAGGGTTTTGTCTACTTATTGTAAACATGTGAGAATTTACTACAAAAATATTCAAAACAAAGATGAGGGTTAGCTGTATGAGAGGATATAAAAATCATTTTTATGTTCGTTCAGGCGATTTTATAGAAGGGAATCAACTTGACAATTTCGTTTTTTCGAATTGAATACGTAGTATATTATTTCACTACTTGTTAGAAACAATTTATTTCATCAAATTATATTCATATAATGTAGGATCTAAAAGTACTAGTTTTTGACAAATTTGTGTCTTATTTAATACCAAATTTTGCACACATACATCTTTTTGGTAAAAATAAATACTCAAAATCCTTATATTCAGGACTGGGACCAAGAGGGGGGAGGGACGATGACTCCTCCCTGCCCAAAGTCCAGGCAGTTGGTTCCAAATCCAAACACGGTTGGCTAAATTACCAAATTTTTATACTATATATACATAAAAACAATTCAGTTGGTTTTTTAATTTCTTCTCTCTAAAAAACAGTGTGCTTTGGTACTGCTCTGATAATTCATTCAATCTCTGATAATTAGTGGTCGGATACTATCCATAGTCAGCCCTATCGATAGTTTTCGATAGTCTCAAAAGATACTATCGATAGTACTATCGAAACTATACGAACATGAATTATAATAGTGTACTGCATTCAAATTAATAAACATAAAAAATGTATAAGGTATATATTAACAAAAACATATAATATATATAAAATAAAGTATGTACAGGTGCAAAACATAAAAGGAAATTAACTACTAATTCCCTGTAAATAAACACAAATGAAAAAGCGAGAAAACTTTAAACATTTAAAATAAAAATTTATTCTGCTGCAAAAATATAAGCAGGTCCACATTTTCTGCTTTAAAACGGTTTCTCTTATTCCATAATATCTCTCCCGCGGTTGAAAATACCCGTTCGGATGGAACCAACGTAGCTAGAATGCATCCATACTTTTTAACCAATGTTATTAAGCCTTTAAATGCACCTTTATTAGTTTGCCAGTAGTTTAAAGGATCCTTATCCATTCGGATTGTAGGACGTTCTAAATATTGCCGAATGGCGATGATAGCATATGGTTTAAGGGGTCGAATAATCCTCCTCTCGATTGGATTTAACTGATTCAAAAAAACTAAGTAACCCCTACTTGCTTTGATTGGTCACTTTTATTATTTTCTGGGTGTTCTTCAGATTTAGTCTGGAATGGACCTGTCAATTCATTTGTTAGAATACTTACGGCGTTCTTATAATTTTCATCTAGCCTAAATGCTGGTTTTTTAAGTCTGGGATCGAGGAGTGTGCTTAGTTCTGTTGAAGTGCGAGTTTTATAAGCAGCTAATCTTTTTATTAAACCTGCTTGCAAATTTTTTATGAGTTTTTCACCACATTCAGTTTTGTAGATCAGTGCTGTCAACTTATTGTAGCGTCCATAGATTATTGAAGTTACTATTGACACTGTTAAATATGAGTCTCCTGAAAATTGTTCTGAGGCTTCGAAAAATAGGGATAAGCCCGCGATCATATCCTCCATAATAAAGCAAGTGTGATTTGATTATTGATAAGAAGCAGCATCATTAAAAATAAGCTATTCCAGCTAGTGGATACTTCTTGAATCACCTTGAGGGTAGGCTTATTTTGATCCTGTTGGATGGAGAGCAATTTCTCATATGCTTTTGGGCTATTTTTAAAATGGTTAACCATGCTTTTACAATGTTTTATTATTGATTTTATTTCTTCATTAGAATCGGAGTTTACAGCATCCTGTACTAATAAATTTACTGTGTGCGCAATACAAGACGAATTTTGAGTGGACCACAAGCATTGGCCATAGTGCTAGCATTGTCAGTTACCACACCTGAAATTTTTCCATTTAACTGCCTGTCGTCCATATTTTTTTTGATTTTTTCACTTAGATAAACTGCTGTGTGACTTTCAGTAAAGTAACGGTTTGCAATACTGCAGATATAAGCTTAAAGTCAAACAAAAAATAGAAGTTACTGTATATCGAGGGTCTAATTCGTTTAATAACTGTCTAAATCCCTTATCTTCAACTACGTAAAAAGGCTAGCAATCTAAAGTGATAAACAAACACTTTGCACTATTAAAATCATAGAAGTTTTCTTTTTTAGAAACAAAGTATTGTTCAATTGTTTGTTTTTTCTCCTCCCCACCGTCTTTATTTACAGCAAATTCACTCGAATTAGTTCTTTTAAAATGATCCATCAAATTGGATGTATTACCTGATGACTTATATTCTTTTGAACATAATTTGCATTTCACGACACTGCTTCCACTGCTCCCAAACATACGACTTATCGCGTTTATTCACTTTTTAAGTTTCAATTATACTAATTATAATGAAAGCCAGCAAAACTCAAGACGTAACAGAAAATTGCAAAACTTAAACTACTCCATTGTATAAAGAACTAATAGTAGTCTCACCTTATGGAAGTTTCATTGGAGCGAAATGGATACTACCAATAGAT